TAGTAGAGACGGGGTTTCACCATGTTGACCAGGATGGTCTCGATCTCTTGACCTCGTGATCCACCCGCCTCGGCCTCCCAAAGTGCTGGGATTACAGGCTTGAGCCACCGCGCCCGGCCAACTTTCTCAGATATTCTTAATCTCTCTCTCCCGATTCCCCTCTCTACCTAATCTGCCCCCTTGCCTGTCTCTCCATATTGCTTATTAAATCTCTATTCTTCACTGCGCTTACATTGAAAACTTACTTGCAAGCACTGCTGTTCTGTCATTGGTCCTTTATTTTGATAGCTGCCCATCTTGTTATGGGTGTTTTTGGAATCAGTATCCTCTTCTCGTTTAGAGGGTACTAATTAGAAGAATGAAAATTGTCTTCTATGCATTGTGTTCTTTGTTCATTTTGTTCTTTCCATTTATGCTGTTAGCTTTCTGTTAGTATTTATTAATAAATGCCTAATAATCATTGGATGTTGGTAGCTGACTGGTAAGGGTTCCCTCTGCAATTAAGTGGATCTCTCATTTTCTCTCACAGAACGCTTCTCTAAATGGGATGGCTGATTGCGGGCTCTGAACTAGTCTGTCCTGTAAAGAGCATAATAGCTATTAAGCAGGGTTAGGGCTTCATGGTTACAGAAAGTTAGGAGGTGTTTGAGTGATAAAGACTTCATCTCATTCCTAGGTAGAACTGCCTTTCTTTCTCATTTATTTCTATGTTGTGGAGGCCTAGAATTACTTCATGTTTTTACCTCTTTGTCTAGCTTCAATATAGATGCTAGGAACTCTGGTAAATTTTTTGGTTATCATTGGTGCAGAAAGCATTCCTGACATTTCTGTATACTTTGAGGGCTGAGGGGAATGGCCCAGAGGTGTTGATTGTAGCCTCACAGATAACTCTTTTTATTCCTAAGTTTGGATGTTTTCCAGACTTCTTCAGTGGAAAATAGCTCCTGCAGTGGTCTTCCATGTGTGTGTCTATTTTTTTCCATTAATTTTACCCCATCTGTTTTCCATGAATTCATGAAAAATTATTGTGTCTTTCTTGTTCTCATAACTGCTATGTTGCTGTTTTTTTGTTTTGTTTTGTTTAATCTTTACTTTAGAAAGGAAGAGCCATACACTGTGCTTGGTCCACAGTCTTAAACTTGAAGTCCAACAAGTTTTATGATCACATAAAGGATGAGTAAATATTTTCTGAGGAAATGAGTGATAATTAAATATTAAAAAAACTGTAACTTCTGACCTAAATATATTTTACCATCAGTTCTCTCTAGCAGTAGAAAAACCGGTAGGTTGAAGATTTCTTTTTCACCATGGTTAGATAGCTTACTTTCATGAGTTTGTAGCAGAGAACTGAGTAACTCTCCATATTGTCATGCATATATTAAGATTAATATTACTAGAAGTTCTAAAAAATAGCTCATAAAATATAAATTTACTGAAATAAAAGAAAGTAACCAATGGATTTAAGAATCTGAATCTGACTGCTGGAAGACAAATCTCAACCTCCCTGTTTGGGCTTTTTAAAGATATCTGAAGAGCAAACAGCCTCAGAAACTAGAGGTAGTAGCTCCCTCTGGATCAAATATTTGGGTTACCTAGGCTTGCGATTCCTCAGCTGTGATGCAAATCTTCTGTGTGTGCAGCATTGATTTAAGCCCCTTCTTGCCCCCATGGGATGTAGGGAGCAAGGGGAATCAATGCAAAGAGGAATCTTATGCTACTTGCTGTGTCATAAGAAATAACGTCCTTTGTCTCTGAAATGGGAATTGTGTCTTCTGCCAGCAAAAGACACATGTAACTGTGGCAGTCTAACTTGTTAGGTTTCCAGTAGGGTAAATATCAGACCCTTCACACCAAATTATTAAATTAAAAAGTGAGAATGCATTTAACCTTTTCAGTTTAGTAATAACACAAATCCAAATGTCTTCAATAAGAACACCTGATAGTCCTTTAAAAAGTCTAAAGTATGTTATTCATTTCTCAGTGTTTCTTTTTCTTATTAGCACTGAGTTTCATGAGCGGCTAAATAAAATTGATAAGCTGAAGAACAGATATGAAATTCTGACTGTTGGTATGCTGCCTCCTGAAGGAGAAGAGGAGAAAACACAGGCATACTATGTAATCAAGGTAATTTTAATTGATTCACAGTTGGGATTGTATCAAGTTTTCTTTGTTAACTCATTCACTGTAATCCTCTGAATTTAAAAAACCAAAATTGCAACTTCCCTCCCATGAAATCTAGCGACTATTTCACTTAATTAGCGTCACTAACTATTGCACTCAATAAAGGCCAAAACATTCATTGCTAAATGGAGATACTGAAGGCACTATTCATTTTGTACACCTCCAGTCCCTGAGGTCAAAGCACTGCCCCGATTCCCAAAACTTACCGCTAACTTGCTCCATAACTTTTCCTCCTGTGAGTTCAGGTCATTCTACTTGACCATTCTTTGAAACTTTTTTCTTTTTGCTATTTGTGTCATGTCATTTCCCCTCATCAAGATTTCTAATCTTTTTGTCGAAGACCTATTACCATTCTAAGTGTCTCTGGTATGCATGTGACAACCTTTCAACAACTGAGGCTTAAAGCTTTGGCGTTTCTGCACTATAGGCACCCACTCTTATGCCACACTCTGGCTTAACCTCAGCATTTCTTATAGCTACACCACCTCTGAATTTTAAACTCCAGTTTACCATTACAGTCCTGGTAGGGCAGCTGTTCAGAAGGGAGGAGGGTTGTTTCCTGCCCTCGTATTACAGGGAGACAGACCAGGTGAATCTTTTTCTGATGTTTGACAGCTGTCTGCCACCCCATGGTTATCTTTACCCATAAGGGGAAATTCATTGAGTGATATGGAATTGAATGCTATTCCCTTTCTGAGCACTGCTATATTCAACTTTCCCACGTAGAAAATACTCTGAACAGGAGTAATTTTCTTTACAGGAAGATCTAGGAAATTACTCAAAATGCTAAAAATAAGAAATGGAACTTATGACTGACTCATTTCCCTGTACCATACATGGATGGGGTGAGATGATTTTCCGATTCACAACTTTAGAGAATGGCTCTCCCTTTGACGTCTACCAACTTAATTGCGCAAATTTTCTCCTGTAGCTTTTCTTCAAATCTGCCCCTTAACAAATACAGCAAGTATGGTATGCCTGCCACTTTGCTTCTTGAAATTCTGCCTTCCCCATGAGAAATCACTCCCGGCTCTCAAAAGTTTCTTATAACTTGTCAGTCTGTAATACCACAGGCTTCTGTCAAAACAGGAGTTTCCTCTTCTCAGGTTTTAAAAGTTCCTGAAGGATAAAGGGTAGGCTCTAATTTTTTAGGTGTTGGTAAATAGGCAGATGTTGCAATTCCAGTTAAGTTTCTCTAACAAGCGGTGTGATGGGTTACCTAAAAGTACTGGTGTTAAGTGTGATTTGTCCATATCCTGGTTTTACCACTGCTTAGGTAGGTGACCAGGCATAAGTTACTTAACCATGCAGTGACTTTCTTCACTCAGAAAATGAAGAGGATAATATTATTACTTTTGTTGGGAGAAATAAGGAAATATATGTAAAGCTCCTGGGACAGTGTCTGGCACAAAATGATCATCAATAAATATTACTGTTATCACTATGATGATGCTGATTAACCTAACAGGAAAGCAGGCAAGTTTTATATGAAAAAAGAATATTCCTTCTGTTTAAAGTGCTGGGTAAATAGCAGTATAATGATTATGCTAAATGAATTGAGGCTATCAGTTACTTTCTCATCTTCCTGATGCCATGTTTCTTATCTTCCATCTTCTTTGGGATCCACAGCTTGCCACACAGTTATTCCCATTTTTTTGTTGTTGTATAGCATGTTTAAACTTTTACTGATAACAACACTTCACAAGTCTCAGATATGTGAAAATGAAACTTTATAACTAAACGCAGTCCAGCTGGTATCAGGAAAAATTATCTATGGCCTGAAAAATAGAGAAAAGCAAACCATGGGTGCAACGATGCCACTGCACAGTGACACCCAAGTGTTGGCATTTTCTAGTGGGCCCTCCAGGTATCATCTGATTCTATAGGAGTGCACACCTTTGACTCTCTACTGACTTATTTTACAACTCTGTAGGTATAGATGATAACTTGTAAGACAACTGACAGTAACATAAGTGATTCTTGCTGCTAACAATGTAAGTGAATTTTTGGCCAGTAGAAATACAACTCTGCTCTGTAGAAAAGATAACCCAAGCATTAAAGTTTATTACACTAAAATATATTAATATGTTTTGCATCTACCAGCAAATTCGTTTCAGCATTTCTGATTCTATATGTCTACAATATAAAATGTTTTTCATATTCTTTGAAATGGTCTACCTTTCTGGCTCATTAACAAGTTGAATAAAATCTTTAATGTTCATTTCATATTTGAGAGTTTTTAACTATGTGAAATTAGTACTTTGGCATTTTCACTTCTGGAAAAAACCTAAATTGCCAAATAGAAGTTAATTTTTTTTTTCCAAGTCTGTTTTTCAATGTAGTAGATTCTGTTTCTCAAAGTAGTTGATTTAGGATTTAAATTCAGTCAAATCAAAATTGATTCCCAGCCCCCCCCCCCCTTTTTTTTGGGATAGAGTCTTGCTCTGTCACCCAGGCTGGAGTGCAGTGGCATGATCTCGGCTCACTACAACCTCTGCCTCCTAGCCATTCTCCTGCCTCGGCTTCCTGAGTAGCTGAGATTACAGGTGCACGCCACCACGCCGGCTAAGTAGAGACAGGGTTTCACCATGTTGGTTCAGGCTGGTCTCGATCTCCTGACCTTGTGATCCGCCCACCTTGGCCTCCCAAAGTGCTGAGATTACAGGCGTGAACCACCATAGCCAGCCCATTATCTTTCCTATGTTATCTACAACGGGATCTGTCCTGATGGATATGTATGTTATATTCATGGCTGTGGGCAACAGGAATTTGATTACAATGCTAACCACTGTTGTGTTTTCTGAACGTTGTGGATTAGGCATCAGCAAACTATGAAACTACGCACTCTAGCCAAATGCTGCCCACCACTTGTTTTGTAAATAAGTACTGGAAGACAAACTACATATACTTATTCATTTACATATTGTTTAGAGCTGCTTACATGCTACAATGACAGAATGAAGTAGTTTTGATAGACTGAATGACCCATAAAGTCTAATTACTATCTGACCTTTACATACAAAGCTTCTTGAACTCTTTTGTTAGTTTCTTAGGGCTGCGATACCTGCATCACACCAGCTGCCCAGGGACCTGAAAACCTACCTACATGTCTGGCCCACCGTTCCCACTACTACCATCTGAGCAAGATACCCAGAGGCCCAAGAATCAGCCTTTGAGGACCCACTAATACCAGTAACAGCATGAGCCACTCTTGGGCCTAGGAATAGAAACACTCAGCCCACCACTTCTACCAATTGGGCCCAAAGACTGGCATACCTGGCATCCTAGACCCCAGCAAAACTTATTCACCAAGGCTCAGCTAATAACCATACAAGTCACTGAGGAAATCACAGATACCAATGACCCTGTGTACGCCTAAGAAATCATACAAAGACCACACTACCACAGGCACCCCAAATCAAAGCATCAACTACATATGTACATCTTCAGGAGAAAATCCTCCCACAAAAAAGCAATTTAAAAAAATTAGCAGAAGCAACTGTTACATGAGATATGCATATATTAATGGAAGGACACAAAAACCATGAAAAAGGAAGGCAATGTGACCCGCCATATGACAACTGTTCAGCAATAGATCCAACTCAAAAGAAAATCTTGAAATGCCAGATGAAAAATTCAAAATACAGAAGCTCAATTAGATGCAAGATAAATCTGAAAACCAATACAAATAAATCAGAAATCAATTCAGGGTATGAGCAAGAAATTTCCAAAGAAGATAGATATCTCAAAAAAAAAATCGAAAACTTAAAAATTGATTGAAAGAACTGTAATACACACTTGAAACTTCAATAATAGGCTACACAAGCAAAAGAAAGAGCCAGTGATAGACTAGACAAGCAACAGAGAGAATTGCAGACCTTGAAGACAGGTCTTTAAAAATAATCCAGTCAAATTAAAAAAAAAAAAAGCCTTAAATGTAAATGCGCTAAATGCTCTAATCAAAAGACACAGACTGGCAAATTAGATAAGCAGTCAAGACCCATCAGTGTGCTGTATTCAGGAGACCCATCTTATGTGCAAAAAAAAAAAAAAAAAAAAAAAAAAGGGGTTGCAATCCTAATCTCTGATAAAACAGCCTTTAAACCAACAAAGATTAAAAGAGACAAAGGCATTACATAATGGTAAAGGGATCAATGCAACAAGAAGAGCTAATAATCCTAAATATATATGCACCCAATACAGGAGCACCCAGTTACATAAAGCAAGTTCTTAACCTACAAAAAGACTCGGACTCCCAAACAATAACAGTGGGAGACTTTAAGACCCCACTTTCAATATTAGATCAATGAGACAGAAAATTAACAAGGATATCCAGGATTTGAACTCAGATCTGGACCAAGTGGACCTAACAGACATCTACAGAACTCTCCACCCCAAATCCAGAGAATATACATTCTTCTCAGCACCACAACACACCTTTTCTAAAATTGACCACAGAATTGGAAGTAAATGACTCTGCAGCAAATGCAAAAGAATGGAAATCATAACAAACAGTCTCTCAGACCACAGTGCAATCAAATTAGCATTCAGGATGAAGAAACGCACTCAAAACTGCACAACTACATGGAACTGAACAACCAGCTCCTGAATAACTACTGGATAAATAATGAAATGAAGGCAGAAATAAAGATATTCTTTGAAACCAATGAGAACAAAGACACAACATACCAGAATCTCTGGAATACAGTTAAAGCAGTGTCTCAAGGGAAATTTATAGCACAAAATGCCCACAAGAGAAAGAAGGAAGGATTTAAAATCGATACCCTAATGTCACGATCAAAAGAGCTAGAGGAGCAAGATCAAACAAATTCAAAGGCTAGCAGAAGACAAGAAATAACTAAGATTAGAGTAGAACTGAAGGAGACAGACACATAACACTTCAAAAAAATCAAATCCAGGAGCTGGTTTTTTGAAAAGACCAA